TATGTAATTAGAAATATTTTATTCGAAAGATTTAGAAACACTGAAACAGGAAGACAATGAAGATAGAAAACGAAACAAAATATACTTTTTTTCAAATCCTAAATATCTATTACAGCATTTTTACATTACTTACGCCACAGCTTTGTAATTTCTGGAGAGTTGATCTTACTCAGCAAAAATGATTTGTGGTAAAAAATCGGTAATAACCTCAAAAATATCAAAATCACTCGCACAAAAAGATCTGGTCAACTAACTCAAAAGATGCATGTGATAGTTATTGGAGGTGAGAAATATTTTTGAAAATATTTAATGAAACGTACCATACAAGTCCTGCTCGATTTTCCTGCTCTGACGCTTTGGAGATTTGGGTTTTCCCCTGATACAATCGTTATTTGAAAGTTTTGATTGGTTTGACAACCGTTCAAGGCCAATCCCTGATGAGTCATAAAAGTGAAGGCATCGTCTAATTATAATTTCTACAGTCTTTGTCGCGGTATATAACCGCACGTAACTCACAAGTTCCCTTTGCTTTAAGGGCTTTGTTTCACATTGAAAGATACATTTCTCTGTGCTACAAGCGTAAGCCTTTCGGAATTTTTGTAGAGGTGATTGATTAATGAGGGTGAATTTATATTTGCAGAGTATAAAATTGCAGACATTTTAACAGAAACCTTTTGATATCATCTTAACAGTGTAAAGTATGTCGATTGTTAAAGATTTAAACGTAGATGATTTGAAGCGTGTGATAACTATGCAACATCGTGAACTTATGGTTAAGAATGAACGTTTGAAAGGTGTACAAGATTTGACTCGCATTTGCAGTGAATTGGAAGAGAAACGCGCTCACTGGCAAACAAAAGCAGAGAACTTGGAGACGGGTCTCGGCAAGGCAGAGGCAAGGATTGCGTATTTGCAAAAAAAACTAGGCATTGGACCACAATGGGCGTTTAAAATCGATGTCGTAAACCCTGGCATATCGAAGAAGGATTTCAAAAGAATTACTCAGGAGAATATGAAATTAAGGGAAGCACTGGATCACATTGTCGCCACAGGTCTGGGTGGTGATAAAATTGCTTTAGTAAGTTAGTTATGTCTTCAAATACTGACTATTGATTTGGAATTTTAAAAAATTGCTTTAATCTAGCTATAGTTCGCTTATTTCTAAGTATGCTGTGAATGTTCCAGAGAATACATCGTATGATACCGAGAAATTTAACTATAAAGAACAGCTTTCCTTGGTTGAAAATATCGTTAAAATTTAAAATATTCTGTTGGGATTCCCCGTTCCCATGATGCATTTTGTTTACTTTCACTATCAAAGATTCAGAGGTTATTTCCCTTTTTTTCCTGTTTTACCGGTTCCAATATTGTACATTTCCTCATTAGGGTGTATTCTTGTTATAACAATAATTCCTGTTGGTCAGCATATTAGCAAGCACTGTTTGTTCTATTGTTTTTAAGGAAATGCAACCAACTCCTTAGCTTTTTCACACCCTTCCTACTTGCACCATTACAAGGAGGGGGGGGGACACAACTTTTCTGCCCACGTCTTGTTACCCTGCACACTCTTGAGTTTAGAAAATCTCGTTCCTTATGCAGCAATATTAAACCTTGGAAATATGCAATATATGGTTGGATAAGAATGCTAATTGAGAGCTGTATATATGTTTATTCACCCCAACATTTATTGAGTTGAAGGCTGCTAAAACCTCTTCGAAGCGAAGACTGTGTCATGATTAGTATACAAGAAGAACAACACAAAAGTATTTTAACTTTATCATATTCAGGTGAGGGGGGGGGGGTGTACTTGTTCTTGGTTTAATTTCAATGACAGAGAGGATAGAGTTGAGCATTGAGTTGAGGAAACTGTCAAATTAACCGATTCGTCGAGATTTCTAAATGTGCAAGAGTGTGTAAACACAGTGCAAGAGTGTGTAAAGACGACATTTAAATGTAAAAAAGATCTCCGATCATGGTACGGGGATTTCCGGCTGCTAGACAAAGCCTACCACGCATGCGCCATGTTTCCGCCAAAACTTGAAATGTAATACAAAACATTCAAAACCTACGGTAAACGTTAAATATTTACTTGGCACTGGGTGTGTATGATTTTAAAGAGCAATAAACGTCTGAATTCAAGTTTAAAAAATTGAAACATTTGGGAACTTTCTACATCAAACAAAGTTTTATCGACAATTTCAAGTTGCTTCGTCTCTGGATTAAAGTAGGTTGCAATGATGAAACGTATTTAATTTGAACGATGGAACTTTAGTTTTTGATTATATTAGTTCAATGTTGTTATCTTCATTAAATGTTTTTACATGATGTACTTTAACTGTATTTGAGTGATTTCACTACATATCAGATTATGAAATATAATTGAAACCTTTAGATATTCTCCATCATTTATAAGGAATCAAATATGTAGAAACATGATACATTAGAAGTTTTTAAAGGTTTTTATGACATCATCTATGCACAGCTTATTTACTGTGAATGCTCGTTTTAACGCCACGGCACTTATTAATTCCCTTATGTTTACCGCCCGTAAGCGGCGGTAAAACAAACACTTATGGTACTAAAAAAAACTATAAAAGCTCATATTGTGTGACAATTTATGAGGGGGAGGGGGGCAAGATTGATAATTGAAGGAGAAAGTATTTATATATTGGTATATTTTAATCTTTTGTTAAGTCCATACCCACAATTGATTTCAATAGAAGCTACTAAGGTAGGACATGCATATACGAATATTTGCACACACCCCCCAAATATCGAGTTTGCGCAGCCTGTGTTACCTTGAAATAAATCTCTTTTCACACATAGAGGACAAATGTATGGTGGAGGCTGCCCTAATCTTGATTTCATTTTTGATGGTCTTTGACAGACCTCTTTACACGATAGAACAGCTTCAACGGTAATGGTGTTTCAGTTTCGTCTTAGCGTATGAAATGATCGGCATGTTTTTCTGTCTGCTGTAGTATAAATCAACAAAGTTACAAGTTCATTGCGCTTTTGAACAAAAACTATTTTTGAGATAAACATTACATCTCCAACAATTTGCTTTAAAAGATTTCGTGCAAGCGTATGACACGTCGTTCACTGGGAATTTCTTTTGTAATTTTCACTTTTGACTGTAAGAAGTATAGTTTTTAAAATGAAATTGCTTTCTTATAGTTTTAAAACAACATTAAAAACTGAAGTCATGAAGAAATTTGCAAATAAACAGGTATGTTTTAGAAAATGGGTAAAAGGAAAGGATGAGCGCTAAGTAAATATTTTCACATTTTTTGGTTGAATTTCAATCAAACGTTTTTACAGGTTTCTTCTAAAACAATCGGTAATTCGTCAACGCCAAAACCCAAGGTCAACGATGTAAATGACAAGCAAACTAAATCCATTATTAAAAGAAAATCTATCAAATATAACTGTAAAGCTCTGAAAAAGACTTCTTTAAGACGATCATTAAGAAAGTCATCCAAAAAGATTTATACAGGGGAAGATGTACCTGATGATGATCTTAACATTTGTAAGTACTTTACTTTTAGTGTAGAGTCATGAATATTTTAAACATCAGTTCATTACTGTGATTTGATATTTGCTTTAAAATTGTGACCAATGCAGTTGTTTTAACGATGGAGAACTTTTTCAAACAAATTTCATTGCTTTGAAGTACATCAATGGAAAAGAACGTCAAATCCTATGAAGACACTTCCAAAAGATTTGTACATAAATACCGCTACAATCCCCAACGCAGGCAGGGGTGTTTTTACAAAGAAAAAAGTTAAAATTAACACTCGTTTTGGACCATACAGAGGAGAGGTACTTTCGCTTAAAGACGCAGAGGATGGAAGAGATCCTGCGTATATGTGGGAGGTGAACATATTTAAATAAATGAATAATTTCTTTTTATTAAAATATTTTCTGCCCGTTCTACTTTCACCATGCAGATATTAAACATACATGCTTTGTCATAATTATTTATCTGTCCGTGTTTACAGATTGTACAAGGAGGAAAGATTGTATATTGCATTGATGGTAAGGATCTTGCTCAAGGTAATTGGATGACATTTGTGAATTGTGCAAGATTTGAAGAAGAACAAAATATAATTGCATATCAATATAATGGAGAAATTTACTACCGAGTTTATAAAGAGATTGAAGCCGATAAAGAATTGCTTGTTTGGTATGGAGATGAGTATGCTGAACAGTTGGGAATATCGTTGTTTGATGAGGAAGATAATGACAAGCATCAGTTTGAAGGTTAGTCAGTTTACTTATGCGAAGTGCCTTAGTTATGTATCATCATTTAGTTCTTTATCCTGTGATGTAATTCTAACTTTTCTTTTTAGTTGGAGGTCACAGCTGTAGACACTGTGGAAGGATGTATACTTATCCCGATTATTTAGAAAAACATTTAAAACGATGTCCAATGCTTGTTTGTACGAATCCCTGGGAATGTCCACGTTGTGGTCGAAAGTACAGTAGTGAAGACTATCTAAATGTTCACATGAAAAATGAATGCGGAAAAAATCCACGATTAAAACGACATGTGAGGGTTCAAACAGGAGAGAAACCTTATCATTGCAAACATTGTGGTAAAATATTTAGACAGCTTTCTAAATTGAATAAACATGTTAGGATACATACTGGAGACAAACCTTACCAATGTGAAAATTGTGGTAAAAGATTTACACAGCTTGGTACCTTAAAACGTCATGGTATGATACATACAGGAGAGAAACCTTATAAATGTGAACATTGTGGTAAAACATTTTCACAGAATTGTGATTTGAATAAACACCTTAGGATACATACAGGAGAGAACCTTATCAATGTGAACATTGTGGTAAAACATTTACACAATAGTGCCTTGAATAGACACCTTAGGATACATACAGGAGAGAAACCTTATGAATGTGAACATTGTGGTAAAACATTTTCACAGAATTGTGATTTGAATAAACACCTTAGGATACATACAGGAGAGAAACCTTATCAATGTCAACACTGTGGTAAAACATTTACACAGCTTTGTAACTTAAAAAGTCACGTAATGATACATACTGGAGAGAAACCTTATCAATGTGAACATTGTGGTAAAACATTTACCCACAATAGTGCCTTGAATAGACACGTTAGGATACATACAGGAGAGAAACCTTATGAATGTGAAGATTGTGGTAAAACATTTTCACAGAATTGTGATTTGAATAAACACCTTAGGATACATACAGGAGAGAAACCATACCAATGTGAACATTGTGGTAAAACATTTACAGAGCATGGTAACTTAAAACGTCACATAAAGATACATACAGGAGAGAAACCCTATCAATGTGAACACTGTGGTAAAAGATTCGCAACGCGTGGTAGCTTGATTCGACACGTAAAGATTCATGCTGGTAAGAAAACTTTATAATGTGGATAGATATTTACAAGGATTGATTCACAGTAACGTTTACAAGAAGAGGAGGAGTGGGGCTTAACTTTTATAACCGAAAAAACGTTATACAAGTTATCTTTACGGTTAAATTTTGGGTTAAGGTTGAAAAATTTTTTATGAATTTTCATTCACAGCAAATTTTCATTTGTTTTATATATAACATTGTTCTTGAGTAGCCCGAGTGAACACATATATTATATTAGTAGCAGCATTTTGATTGGATATTTTAGTTATAATTTCGATACAGTTCAGTTGTAACTTATTTGCAGTTATGGATGAACTATTGAAAAACAAACCAACGTCCCATTGACTATATCCACATGGTACATTACTACAGCTAGGAAAGCTAGAATGAAGTCAATTCCTTTATAGTTGATAGCTATATAACGTATAAACAATTTATTCTCAACAGCCATAAAAGATCATCTGTATATGTACAGTATTAATACGAATTGAAACCTACCCTTACTGGAGTTTATTTGTACAACATAAAAATTATTTACCCATGATAAAATATACCCCCATTGAAAACAGTTTGCAATACACAAATATTTCACAAAACATAAGATTATCATACGAACGCTAACATGTAAGATTGATTACAACCATTAACCTTTGAAGTACGAATAACAATTTCTATTCCTATATCATATATTGGTGAAACGTGCACTTTTTGATAATGGAACATTTTTCATAAATTAAAAACGCTATCAATTTAGTCATTCATTAACGATATTAAGGAAATTGCAAAATTTCTCCATTGGCTAAAGTACTGCTAAGTGACAAACTCTAGTTTAAAAAGCTATTTTTGACTATCAATGTAAATATCGACTAGCGAAGTCAGCTCGCTTTGAACTCCTGCAGTGCAAATATTTTTGTGTTCATTCACGGAAAAACAATAAATAGAAATAATTTTCTAAAGTAAAATATCTGCATTGTAGGAGTAAAAGTTTGGGCTGGCTTCCACACTGTACATGCCTGTACAGCCGTTATCCACCACTATCCCTAACTACCACTACGTAACAATTTATACATATAAAATGTTCTATTTTCAAACACCTTCTTAAAATATAAACTAAATTCCTCGCCACCTGATTTAATTGCATGACAGAAGCGGAAACATCACTATGTACCAGACCCTGTCGGCAGCTCCACCCTCTATAACATGACCGTTATTATAATCTAAGATATCTTTAATCTTACAACCTAACTCTTGTCGAGAATAACAAATACTATTTTCTAAGATCACATAGTCAGTCCCATGCTTCCGCAGCAAATGATAGACGTCTTTCGGCGTTCCCTTGGCATAAATTTGATAGATCTGGACGGAGAAACAAAAATTTTAAAAATAAGTGGCTTCGTGAATGACGACAACCAAAACGGTTTAAATTTTATAACATCAAAATATAATGAAATAGAAGAGTAAAAGTTCTACTAGAAATTAATCTGTTTTTATGAATATTACTCGCTCGTGTAAATGAACTATAGAAAGTTCTCCGAAGAGTTTATCAAAACCAGTTTTGTTTAAAGTAGTTTTATGATACAGAATAACAGTTCATCTTTACTTCAACGTTCAAGACCTGTGTACCTAATGATGAATTTGTTATAGTTTTAAAACATAACTTTCGACCTCTTTTTCCGCTTGTAAATATTTAATTAATTTGTTATTAGTCATCCGCTGACCACATAGTATCGTCAGTGAAGGTCAACCGCTTGACAACACTCCCAAGGTGCAGGGGTCGAGTTAAAGTAAATTTACTTAACCCGGTCACCTCCTGCACTCAGGCAGTTAGAAGCTACAGCACAACAAGGGGTTAGTATGTAAACATCAATGGATTTCAAACTTTGAGCTTAAAACTACTTTTCGAGTATTATAATAACTTTATCATCTGAAATTATCGGTTCTAAACGGCCCTTGTATTTTCGTTGCTTTCCCATCTTTAAAATTGTAGTTCACAGTCACTTGTTATAATTTACCCACAATTTACTGTGATTCAGTATGTGCTTTATAATTTGAACATTAAAACGATAGTGAATATCCTAACACCATAGATCGTTTCTCATGCTTTTAAAGATTCCAATAAGTGAAAAATACAACTTTTGTTATCGTAGGAGCCAAACTCGAGTAACGGTTCATGAAAAACACAACAGAAATTTGAATTTCAAAACACAAAATCATACTTTTACAGTGGTAATCTGTTTCTCTTTAGAATAAAACCATGACAAATGACATTGTTTCTGCGGTATTTTGAGGTTTAAATACCTAAAAGTTTGTGCTTGGAGATTGAAGATGCAAGGGTGTTACCCTTGCATCTTCAATCTCCAAGCACAAACTTTTCAGATCGAAATTACAAAAACTTTCACTTACCTCCTTTGTTCGTAGTCTCAATAATTTATTTTCATAATGTGGATGATTTGTTATTGGTCTGTCTGTACACAATTTACTGCAGCCATAAGTTGCATACTTCCAGAAAGATCTCCCTTTCCCGTTTTTCTCACTGAAATGTGAAATAGTGATTAAGCCCCAGCAGATCTAGGTATTTTGAAATAAAAAACATTTGAGGTACATTCGATGTTTGAACAAAATATATTTTCCTGAAAATAAATTTCCAGGAAAAAATGGTTGGTAAAAGGCTATGTTTTGTAACTTTTGTTTGCAACTTCGGCTAGGGTACAGTTTAGCGGACACCGGTGGCCATATTTCGATGACCATGAAGATTGTGGGCACAATACAGCAGTAAATAGCGGGAAAATGCTAATCAATAACTTCACAGCTAAACGCCGTATCATTCTTTAACGAGTGAAAAAACGTTATACAAGTTATCTTTACGGTTAAATTTTGGGTTAAGGTTATGTTGAGGGTTAGGGTTGAAAAAATTTTTATAAATTTTCTTACAGTTACTAAATCAACATAACCAGATTACTTACTTGATAAATCTCATTAAATCCACTGTGTCCGGGTCGTAAAACTCTTTCAAATCTTTTAATTCGTTCAACGCTCCTTCCATTCTCTATATAGTAATCACATACATCACATTAAACTCAAGGCCGGATTTAAAGATGCGTGGAGGTCTGGTTGTTTGCCTTTTCAGGGTATGTACGTCAATTGGAGTATCTGATATATATTCAGCTATACTTGGCTATTATCTTTTTGAAAACAATTTCAGTTTCAAAAAGAAACCAGAATAGCTGAATATATAAATATGGTATCTCTACTAACGTTCGATAACCTGAACATATTTAACATGTGATTTAAGAGTTTTAACGAGTATACTAATAAATATCAACAAATACTGCATACACTAGAGTCTATTATAAAAATAGCCCATTAAAACCTGTGCTCTGATTGGTTGAATTCTCCTCAAATTCATGGTTTGTCGGTTTCATTTTGACGAATAACAGGAAATGTCTTATTTTCTACAGTTCTATAAGAATTTATATTTCGATTTCGAGGTTTGTGGCGTGTGTGTTTGGCAGTGAATGGGTTAAAATTCTACACTTTAAAGAGGTGGGAAACATGTCAGGGAAAAGCGATCTTAGGAACGTTCCCACCTACCCGCGCCTCCCCTTAAAATCTCGCCTTGATTAAATATAAAATAACTTCAGCAAAACTGTTAATATTTAAGATCACATCGCACCTGATGCAACACCAAAACAATCAAAATTATCGGAACCAAAGGAACTTCCAATTTTACCTGAAAAGAGCAAATTCACAATGATCCCATGATAAAGATACTTGGTCACATATAACTTTAAATGAGTATCTTCTGAGACAGTCTCATCTCATCGTAAAACAATGACGACAAATCACTATTAGTTCAAAAATAAAACGAACATCTAGCAGTAAAAAAATTATGTCTCTACAATGTATCTCCATGGATCTTTTTAGTATCTTTAATCTTAAAATGTATGCTAATGTATGGTAAGTTCTTACACTATCATAAAACAAAAAAACAGTCAACAAAAACAGTCCTTCTCAGGACTTTACCAACCTGGACGATCTACATTTACAAACATGTCATTTCATAATACTTAATATAATCTCGTACCTTTGCATATGTCAGGTAAATTTTTGCACATGTCAGAGAAAGCTCCACAATCAAAACAAATTATTCCTGCGGCGACAATGCAAATATGTGGCATCCATAAAAACTTAAATCCAACGTAGTTACAGCCATAAGGTAAAGAGAAGAATGTTTGTACAAGATGATAAGCGACTTCAGACTGTCAGATTGTCAAATCCACCAGCAGACGACTGATACGAGCACGGATTAACGACTGTCACAGACGAATCAACTATTACATGAAACAACAAGAACAAAGACTGAACAAACTGAAGGAACTCATACCAACGACAATAAGTGATACTTTACTTTCTACGATACAAACTATTGCAGAGAAACGAGCAAACAAGACAGAGACACAACACCAAATCAAACAACAACAAAAACTTGAACGTTTAAAACAAACTAAAACACGTACAAGACATAGACATGACGATAACTGGGTGAGGAATATTTCTTCCCGCTCATTAGACGAAACTGAAACGCGACTACTATCTTACGGACTAAAACATTCCATAACACCTAGACAAATCCCGACTGAGACGATAGTATCAAGTGTCGAGGCTGTCCTAGCGTATCAAAGAGACTTGTCAGAGACAACCAAAGACGAGATCAGAAGCAGGATAGCCTCCACTTTACAATCGTCCTCTATACGTGACAACAACTTGACAAAAGACGAACAACAAGCACTCAAACGACTAAAACACGACAACAACATCGTCATTTTACCAGCAGACAAAGGACGCGTGACTGTGGTCATGGACAGGAATGATTACTTTAACAAAATGGACGCACTTGTTAACGACAGACAAACGTACGAACAACTCAAACGAGACCCAACACCATCACTAGTACGCAAACTTAACAGCAAGATCTTCTCTATGAGAAAATCTAACATTATATCTGAACGTATTTACTATCGACTCAGATGTTCAGTACCACGACCACCCAGACTATACGGACTACCAAAACTTCACAAACCACAAATACCCATGCGACCAATTGTATCATTCTGTGGTTCGCCTACTTACGAACTTTCAAAGTACTTGACTAACATACTGCAACCACTTACAAACAAATCAAAACACAAGCTACAATCCACTGAAACTTTCATTAAAAAACTGTGCACTATACAAATACCGGACAACTATATACTAGTGTCTTTTGATGTGAAATCACTGTTCACCAGTATTCCACTTAATCTGGCACTTACTTGTACAAAAACCCTCATTACAAACACCACGGACGTACTGCCATTACCGACAGAAGACATTATGGAGTTACTAGAGCTCTGCCTCACCTCGACTTACTTCCAATACAAAGGAACACACTACAAACAATTACATGGGACAGCAATGGGCTCGCCCGTTTCTGTTGTAGTTGCTGAAATTGTAATGCAATCTATAGAGGAACGGGCGCTCATGACTTACAAACATGCACTACCTTTTTGGTTTCGCTACGTAGATGACACAATCACAGCACTACATGCAGACGAGATTGATGACTTCCATACTCACATCAACAAACAGAACAGCCACATACAATTTACCAAAGATGTCGAAGAAAACGGAACTCTTCCTTTTCTCGACTGTTTGGTAAAACATGACAATCAAAAACTAGGAACAACAGTTTATCGCAAGCCAACACATACTGACCGACTACTAGACCAATCATCTTACAACCCTACATCACACAAAGCCACCACAATCAGAACATTAACAAGACGTGCACAAATCATATGTGATTCACCGGACGCTCTACAAAACGAAAACAACTATCTCAAACGTGTTTTGACAAAACAACTATAACTCTGACTTTATCAAACGCAACACTTACAAACCCAACGAACCCAACGAAACGAACAACTCAGTGACAACAGCAACGATACCTTACATCAAAGGTACGTCTGAGACTATCTCGCGTATCTTACGACCATACAACATACGTGTCGCACATAAACCAATCACAACGTTACGACAAGTACTAACGAACATAAAGGACAAAGAACAACCCAACGAACGACAAGGTGCAGTTTACAAAATAAACTGCTCCGACTGCCACGCCTCCTATATCGGGGAAACTGGCAGGAACTTAAACATAAGACTTACTGAGCACAAACGAGCTACTAAGAAACAAGACAAAACTAATCACATTACCGAACATCACCGAATCACAAAACACAACATTGACTGGGACTCGGCAAAATGCATCGCTTACAGTACTGACTATAGACAACGGCTTACATTAGAAAGTTGGTATACCAACTTGGAACAAACCCCCCTGAACAGATCACAGCAATTACCGGCACCTTACAAACGACTTATTCACAATACAAACAAACGATCAACACTTCACACCAATTCACAATGACAATACACAATTGACACCCACACATTACAACTAAAAACGTCACACCTAAATCACACATCACAACTAAAAATAAAATATTTCACTTCACACTAATTCACAATGACAATACACATTTCCTGTACACACAATACAATGACATAGGAACCAGATAACAAATACGGCTAACCTGACGTTTACTCCTCATTTGACTCTGAAGATGACTACCGCTAAGGTTGTCGAAACGTCAGTCAACAACATCAAAAACAGTCCTTCTCAGGACTTTATTAACCTGGACGATCATCATTTACAAACATTAAAAACACTACTAAATCTTTCACTTGCGTCAAATGTAGAATCAACTTAAATATTTTGAATACAAAATACAATGGCACATGTTCCCAACTTGGCTTGCTTTCAACAACCAAAGCACAAACGTGTATTCTCTGGTATTCTCAGTGAGTTCACTGGGTATTCTCCATTGAGTGGTATTCTCATTTCCGACAAACTTGCATGCTAACTCCTTTCAGATGCCACAAAATCACGCAAAATCTATTGTTGCTTTTGTGGATATAAATTAGAAGACAGCTTTGTCTACTGCCCGTCATGTGGGCGAAAAAGTGAAACAAATTGGTGCCAACGCCGAGATAATCGCTCAGCTTCTACTTCCAGTACTAATAACAATTCACTGAGTGGTACGCCATCAATAGCATCCACGTTCGCCGATTTTAAAACGAAAAGAGAGTTGAGAGCAGTCCATTTTAAACCTAATAAAAGAAATCGACAGGCAGAAGGGACGCAGCAAGTCAAAAGATGAGGTCATTATCAACGTTGGTTTAATGGAATACGAGTATGGTGAGGCGAAAGAACAACGTGGCAAATCTTTTCCTGTGAAGTTGACCAAAGACATGAGCTATGATGAAGTAAGGGAAAGATCAGTGAAGAAGTGGGAAGACATGACAGAAGCAGCCGAGACCAGGGTTACGTATTGGTTTTTCCTGATGGAAAAATAGCTAAAAAGATACCTGGCTGCTGTGAAGAGTTCACTTTGAGAAAATACAAGGAAGGCCTTGCTAAAAGCTGTAACCCAATTACTCTGTATCTTTGTCCAGCAACTGAAAAGAAAGAGACCAGTATGCTACCT